GGGAAATATAGCAAATCGGGGAAATCTAGCCGGGTTTAGTTTCGTCTTTCGCCATTTGCCAAAAATAGTTTCGCCTGCCAACACTATTAACCACTCGCCAAATCTAACACGCCTTTTTCGACCCAACTTAACCTAATCTTAGTTACACGGCGCTACTCTCGTTCTAGCAACAGATTCGCCGATTTAGGACTGTCAACGGGTTGAAACACTACCTGTTTTCCTATTATTACATGCATAACAGAGCCAATCAATGTTCAATTTTGATTGGTTAATTTGGTTAAACCGGGTATTTTATGTACGACGTTCCACAGGCCTTTCCAGATTTCAACTCATACAGTGGCATTGATTGACATTGCGGAAACTTTTATGATAAATTTTAATTAAGTCATACATTACGAGAGATACGTACGTATGTAAACTCTGAGTCAAGTCTTCAGTCAAAGCCTATCATTTCACCCGTTGCAATATTAAGAATACTAATTAGTCTATGTGACATAGTACAAGAGCAGATTTCGTTCATGGTGAATTAAATCCGTGAAATTAAAAATATAAAAGCTGTTGAAATTTTCTAAATTTATAATTTGATTAAAAATGAACAAAAATACCTTTAAATTGTCATTAATTATTCTTTATTACTGTTTAATAGCATTGACAATTATTGCTGATGCACAAAAATTTCATTACGTACATCATAAAGCCGTTACTATTACTGGCAAAATGAAATCCCGAGGTATTATTTGCGATTTCAATGCTTCGAATAACAATATCATTAACAATAAATTTACCACTCGCGATAATTGTGCTTCCCCTGGTGGCCAATGTAAAATGGATAGTGAATGTTGCAGTGATAACGGTGATACATACGGCTGTTGCGATGGTAACTGCATTAAATGCAATCCAAATAATCCAGATCAATGTTGTCCGTGCTAGCTTTTTTGAAATGAGGTTATTTTTGCATTACAGTGAAACCTCTATAAATGCACCGTCTATAAATGCACACCCTCTCTAAATGCACACTCAACCTCTGGACCAAATATGTGCCAGACCTCTACAAATCCACTTTTCTTATTGTTCTCTAAATGCACGTTGTTTAAGTTCAGTTTCTAGAGTGTGCATTTATGGAGGTTTCACTGTATTAATATTTCTTTATCATCGATTACTGCTTAGTGAGGTTTATTTTGCGAATAAGTATACTGCATTCAGATTAAAGGATAGATTTATAATAAAGAAAACAGGAGTTTAATGAATAGAATTGATTAAAATTATTTACTTTAATTATATCATTTTTCTAATAATAAAAAATATCTATGTTCGATTTGTAAGACTTTAGTTTGATTTGATTGCTCTTTTAACCTCGAATCATTTCTTCTTAATATTTATGACATTATTGAAAGAGGATTTTATAGTGATTATGATCCTGAATAAGGCAATGATTAATAAAAGTATATAAGGATACTAATAATTTAATTGTATTTGTTTATTTAGATTATTTGTGCACAAAGATAGGAGTAAACTTTATTAATTTAATACATTTAATAGTTATTACACGTTTTATCATTAAACATCACGAGTTATATAAGATATTATTGTCACGGCTAAAAGGTAGATCTTCGAAATTAGGCGTAGTAAACCCGTGATCAAAGAAACAATCAAGAAATACTGGTTTATCGGTTGAGGCTTATCGGCCGAATGAAACTAGTAAACAGGTTTGTAATTTAACTTAAGGCTTAGGTTGATAATAACTCCTCGGCCGAATCAGCCTTATAACCAACGTGAAATCTGAAGAACCTGAACGTGTAAGAAGAGAAGAAACCGAGAATCAAGAAAAAATTAGAAGTGGCTGCAATATGAAATATTGCAAGAAATAAACAAAGCCTTATCTTTAGTTTAATCATATTGTAATTATTATTGTAAGCCCCTTTAATTATAGTGATTCTCCCTTGATTCTTTCTTGATGGAAGATGCAATTTATTCCTAAGCCTCTTGGATTCGTTAGTGTAGTCTAAGTTATAAAAACACTGTAATTTCTCTCTTGTAAAATGATATCCTACAGGATAATAATATTCTTAATATAATATATTGAATAAATCTTCTTGACAAACTTGTTTAAAATAAATTATTGTCAAATAACCAATGTCATGCCTCTGGTGAGTTGCCTTATTACCTAAAATCTTATAATTTTGTGTATTAACATATTAAACCTACAATTCTGCCCGTAACATTATGCAGTATTGTGGCGCAGCCACTATGATAAATATGATAATAACTAATTTACTACACGGATCCTAACACCCAAGACTTTATAACTATTATTTTAACAGGCTTTTTTTCATAGCAAATAAACTCTTTTTCCCTTTAAGATTCCTTTTCTGTTTACATTTTTTATAAATAATTTACAACCAAATTTATTATAAAATTCTCCTAATACAATCTAAGAACTGATAAAAAAGAAAGTCTGCCATGAAAATATCAATATTAAGATATCAGTAAAAAAAATCATGGGTAAACTATTAGGAGCTGTGTAATAAAAAGATATAAATAATAATAATTGGGGTTTTAAAATTAACAACAAAATAATTTATTTTCAAATTTTTCAATAGCATTTTTACATGTTGAATAATAAATCAGAAAAAATTTTTGATTTATTTTGAAATCTCTAATAATATTAATATGGTCAATTGTAATAAAATAAACTTCTTATAAATAAGATTAGAAGCTCAAAGCTAGAGGCATCAAAGGTTAATTGTATATATATTTGTAGTTATTACACAATAACATATTGTGAAGGGTTCTGGAACATCTATTTTTTTTTTATTATTTTTTTTTTTTTTTAATATTGAGGTGACCACTTAGGCCCCTGGCACTTTATTAGTTCAAACAGGTGGGCTATTGTCTGAAGACTGGCTTACATATTACATCAGTATTATGAGGGTACAACTAGTCACATGTACAACTTTTGGTTGCCTATTTAAGTAGTCCGCCCGAAGCGTTAGTGCTATGCTAAAGGTTCTACACTAGCTGTCA